ACATCCATCCATCCATCCATCATCCATCCATACATCCATCCATCCATCCATCCGTCCATCCATCCATCTCTTCCTCTGTTCGCCCATCCTTCCATATTTAACCTGTATAAATGTTAACCATAAATAATAGATTTTAGAGTTGGACTATTTCTGATGTTTAATTCATATTATTAATGTTTGTCTGAATTTCATAAAGACAGTTGTTATATCCTTTTTATTCTAATATTTCCATTAATATGTTTTGATGATATTTTGCATGATCTCATCTTTTTCTCATCACTGCTTCTCTTTGTCCTTTAAAGTCAAATTTCGGATCGTCTCCCTGGATGACAACTTCCTCCCCGTAAATCGAGTGGTATGTTTTTATTATTTATTATTTCATCTTTTGTCACTTTCCTGTTAGAAGTAGGTCTGGGTACCGATGAGTGAACCTGGTAATGGGCTGTGATATCTGGCGAGCCGTCGGTGAATGTGTGCAGCGGGGTCTATTTTGGTTCAGAAAGAGTGGGAGGTGGAAGCAGGACTGTTTGTTGCTTTTGGAAGACGGTGTGGGCGTGAAGCGCTGTGTGGAGTGGAGCGATAAACAGGCTGTCAGAGTTCATTTGGCGCACACGCCGCGTGACCCAAACATCTGAATCAATATGGGTGCGGGCCTTTTTCCCGTTTCTAATGAAGGGGATGAGAACATGGCAGCGTGCTGTGAACGTGAAATCTCTATTTCCATAAATTGAAGCAGATGGAAATGAAACATCTTTACTTCTTCGCTCCGACAGGCAGCAGGAGGCTTTAGGAATTTACCTTTTTTATGTCATTAAGATATAAGCTGAGCGAAGAAAAGAAGGTAACCCAGAATGAGTGATTTGGACCAGAACTGCCCCCAAACTCAACCTACCCATGGTTTAATGGGAAGTAAATCAATATCTCCTCCATTAAATACATATATATTCGGTTTGTTCTAAGATAAAGATGCTACATCCAAATAATTTTCAGTTTGGTTAAAATGGATGAACAAAAGTCTAAGGAGATATGTTTCAATGTTTCAAAATAAAAGCATACAAATTCACATGTATCGAAACTATTTTATTTTATTTATTTTTTGTACCAAAACATGTTTTGATTTCAAATAGAAAATCAAAGCAGATCCAAATTTCTTCCAATCAGTTATTTTGGTCCGTTTTTCAAAGCTTGCTGGGAAGTTCCTGTAAGACTGGAGGAGTTTTCAGCTGCCATCTTTACAGTCTGGAGAGAAGCTCTAACTTCCTACTGTTCACATCCTCTTGACTTTGACTGAAAATGACATTTTTCTGTTTCTCTTTTTTTCCTCTCTAGTACACGGAGGTGGTGCTTAAGGTAAGAACTTAAACATATTCACCCTGAGACACTTCTGCTGAAGTCTGCACTTTCTTCCTGAGGAGTTTTATCTGCAGGCAGAAAGTAAAGATAAAGAAATAAAGAAGGTCTGGCTGGAGTTTAACTCCTGGCTCTTTTAAACCTGTTAATCTCAGTTTGAGGCAGCATTTAAAGGAAAACTCTGGTCAGCAAGGAATGATCATTGGATCATTATCTATACCTAAAACTAATATATTTGCTGTGATTAAATGAATTTAGTATTAATCAGTAAAAAAATAAAAACAATAATTTTCGTCTCGATCACTGACAAAAATAATTATTTTAGGCAGTGACGTCACGGTGCAGTAAGCCTAGCGCCATTCTCCCCGCTTTACAAGCTAAATCAATGGGAACTACTAGACACATCTGCAATCAACAACAATTATTAAAGATTACCAGAGGATTTCACCATTGAAATTCACCAGAGCTATAGTTAAAGTCATAGGGAAATCATATTTAAATGTCAAATAATTCTGGCTTAAACATGTATATAAATATACTCTTTATCTGACGATATTGTCCCAAAATTTAGAAAATTTCTATTTTTAAAAGAATCATGTCTCAAAATCCGTGTTTTTTTCTTTGTTATCTTCTGCAGGCCAGTTAGTTCTACGTCAGCCTGAACACCTAAATTCGGCCAATCATATATCAACCATCATCTGTCAATCAAATGTTTTCAGTCATAGCATCTTGATTCATATGTCGCAGCTAATATACGCAACGGTTGAAATCAGAATCCTTTCCTTTCCCATTGAGTTGCGTCCCAGTGTTCACGGGGATGGACGTCTGTGTCTTCGGCAG